GACTTGCGGCAAAGCATGAGTGTACTAGTCCCAGCGGGTTGGCATGGTGACCGTGACCCGAGTGCTTCGTCCAGGGCCCTTCAGAGGCTTCGCCCGTCTCCCACCAGCTTGCTGCCCAGGAAGAATGTCGACTCTCAAGGTTGAGCACTCGCGACACCTCACATTGAGAGGACTCTCAAGACAGATCTCACTTCCTCAACGTAAGAAGTAATGAAGAAGGTAGATAAGGAAGAGAGCAATGTACCTCATAATGCTGCCCCCAACCACAAATTTCTCATCGGCAACCTGACGGGCATTTATGATGATCGGTCTTTGCCTCGGCACAACTGAAACAGTTTCACCCAGTTGACCCGACATTGCAGGCACAGAGATTCGATCCCTAGACCTGTGCCCTAACCCTGTACATTGACCCTGTGTGCTGAGCAAGATTCGATCCCTAGACCTATCCTGTACCCTGTACATAGGCCCAGCGATCTGCGTAGGACTTGATCCCTAGGTATGTAGGGTAGGAGTTCAGTTTGTTACCAGTAGGTCTATAGTGTCTGCTCCAGAAGTCTCTACCTAAGTCTACTGTGGTCCTAGAGTCTGTCTGTCGGTCTGTAGGTTCTATAAGTCCGTAGGACCCTGTAGTCCAGTCCAGTCAGCAGGCACTAAGGAAAAGGGCTGCACGTGGGGACAGGGAAAGGCCTACGCGTTCTGGAGAAGACTCCAGAAGACGCGTATGGGCCCAGGGGCCACACGGTTTGGCCCACGCAGTGAACAGAAGGCTCTAGAAACGCGGTTTGGGGCCCAACTGTCACGCGTTTTGGCCCAGGCCCACGCGGTTTGAGGCAGGGCCCGGGTACCTCCGAAGAAGTATAAATAAACAGGCAGCGTCCAGCCATTCATTCATTCGCCTGTGAACCATGTGGAAGTGTTGCCTTGGTATCTTGTGCGTGGAGGACTGCAGGTGCCCGGAGGCGAAGTGGGCTGTGAGGAAGACAGCGGCCATAGCTGGCCAGTGAGGAAGACACCGGCGGCCATAGCTAGGAGGAGGAAGACGACGACGGCCACAGCCGCCCAGCTGTTGGTGTAGACAGAGTGTACAGAGTGTGTGTTTGTGCAGCGTGGACATTCAGGGTGATCCTCGTACGTGCGTTCATGCGAGAGTGTGGGAGAGTGAGGCTGGTGGTAGAGACAGTGTTTCGCGGCCATAGCCGCAAGTTGTACAGTTGATTCAGACTGAGTTTAATACAAGTTCATTGTTGTTTCTGAGTTGGAAGAGTTTGGTTTGCCATCGGTTCTCAAGTGTGCATGTTGTGAGCAAGTCCAGAGTCGAGTCTGATTGCACAACCAACAACGAAATGCAGTTCCACCTCGGCTTAAATGCCACATCAGGGAGCTCTCTTCATCCAGTGTACACCCCTATGTCACCACATAGCCTTCCCGGCGCGCCCACACGACCCTGGGCCGCCTATCGTTCAACGCCCAAGCCTTATCACTGGCCCATACCTCATGCGAAGCACCGAACACCTATTGTGAAGAACCAGAAAAGCGCAGTTCAAACCAGCTCCGATACCAAATTGCAAGGAAAATGAGCAATAGCGAGATGACAAAATCCAAGCCAGAAAGTATCACAGTGTCCAGAAATCGGCATTGCACCAATATAACACCAATGGAGAATCATAACACTGAAACCGAATGTCAATGAGAGCTTGCTCTCGCCATCACCAACAAGTATCCAGGCCCTTCTCCCTACCTGGCGCTCGGCGCCCAGCCTACTCCCTACACAGCTACTGTCTGCCTACTAATTCACAATGCAACTGTTGACGTCAGCAGCCAACAAAGTACTTGAAGATGTCGACCAATGCAGACCATCGCCAATACCAGGTATGTGCCCTCACATCATCATCATCATCGTCCTCTTGCCTTCTCCCTCGACTTTCACCCACGTCTTCCCTCTGTATATCCGAAGACCACCCCTGCGCCTTGCTGTACATCCAAGCCCCAGCCAGCAATGGAGTCTGGGCTATGGCGCTGCCCTCGGCAGCGCCCTTCCTCGTACACGACCGCACGTGCGCAGCACCTTGCCTTAGCGCAAGCAGCATCCCGCGAGACTCCGCTCCAGCAGCGCTGCCGCTAGCTTGCAAGTGCCCGAATAAGCTTCCAGGCGGCGAGCTCTTTCCTATATGGAAAGAGTCTGCCTGCCTTCCGGCCTGGCTGGGCTGGGCCTGCTCCCAGAAGCTTCCGGTAGGCCCCAAGTGGCTGGGCCTCTGGTGCAACTGCTGGGCCTCAGTCGGTTGGGCCTCCCAACTGTCTGTGTATGTTGCTGCGATTCTTGCCCAGTTTCCGAAAAGGCCCAGAAGGCCGTGGAAAATATTTGCAGCTTGTGTCCTATGTTCCCTCAACAAACTGATGCGACACAACTGCCTGAACCCCAAGTGCGAAATTGACAGCATTGGGCCTCTCATGATTTGCTAGGCCCGCCTTCACTTAGAGCGGACAGACTTGTATCAGGGGCCCCTTAGGCCTGTGGAGGAGCCATGTCCTCGCAGAAGGCTCTAGTTCTAATTCGAAGGGTCTCTATTCCAACAGGTCTAAGTCTCTGGTCTCAGGGTCCAATCTTTCTTTCTTTCTTTCTTCTTCTTCTTCTTCTTCCAGTTCGAGGTGGTCCTCGGGGTTCACCAAGTGCCACCAACTGATAGAGGCTCTAGTCCTTTGAACTTGTTTCTTTCTTCTTCTTCTTCTTCTTCTTCTTCTTCTTCTTCTTCTTCGTTTTTTTGTTTAATCCGAAACGTATGACGGTTCTGGCTCCGTATTCTGGGGTGAGCATCAGTGCAATTCCTATTCCACCGGCAATTCAAGAGGGGGATCAATAGGTACTCACGCTCGCCGCTCGCTCCTCCCCATTATGGTCGAGAGGCCCTAGTTCTAATCTGGAGGGGCTTTAGCTCTAATCTAGAGGTCCTGGAATGTAATCTGCACCAGGTGACAGAGGCTCTAGGTTTAATCTGAAGGCTCGGGCCGAATCAGTCGAGGTGCCACGTTTCAATCTGATCCGCGCTAGTTCCACTCTGGAGGCTGTTGTTGGAACCAGGAGGTCCCAGGTAATAGGGGTTCTTGTTCCGATCTCAGCTCTCTAGTCGTATGTGCCTAGGCCGCAGAACTCCATGCACATTCATTTTGTCTTTTGTACCTTGAAATGGATTCACGCTGCGGACACCCAGTCCTGGCCCCAAGGGTCCCGACAAGTCTCAAGTCCCAGGGACGTCCAGTAGGGTAGGCCGTAGGGTCTAGAGGCCGAAATGTCGTAGGTCGGTAGGTGTCGGTACCGAAGCGTCGTAGGTAGGTCGGTAGGAGTCCGTCCGGTACCCGACAAGGAAAGTCCAGAAGCGTCCACAGTCCAGTCCGACAGTCCCAAGTCCAATTTTGCAGCATGTCCCAGGAAAGTCCGGAAGCTACTGGACCGACAAAATGTTTGCAGCAGACAGGCTGCGGCCGACCGGAACCGGGACCTGTCTGAAGCAGGCCAAGCCAAGCGAAGCCAAGTCCTATATTTAGCTGCTACAGTGCAGCGTCTCATCAATTGTTCAGTTGCGAGATGCGGAAGTGCTGCTGCTGCTTGTGCGTTGAACCGCCAGTACATCCAGCTATTGGCCGCGGGCCCTTTTCGGAGGCCGCCCACCGCCGATTGGATTTATCTACGGCGCCGGGCCTCCGAAAATTTCGTAGGCGACGAGTTTTCTTTTCAGCAAGGCTGGGGCCGTGTACTGGTGTTTTAAGGCAACTTGGGCACTGCGCGCCTGAAGAAGAAGAAGAAGAGGGCGCTCGCGAGTTTCTCCCTAGCTAGGTTAGGGGTAGCGTAGGAGGAGGGCGGCCATAGCCGCCAAGGTCTAAGCTTACCTGAGTGGGTGTATCCAGGTGACGATCTAGGGTAGAGAGAGAGAGAGAGAGAGAGAGAGAGAGAGAGAGAGAGAGAGAGAGAGAGAGAGAGAGAGAGAGAGAGAGAGAGAGA